ATATTTCATTTTTATCATTATATTATTTAAATTAAGTAGTACTTTTGGTAGATTGAAATTTTTTTTTTTATCTTGGTTACACAATGGAAGACAATCATCTCTCATCCCTTATCACACCTCACTTGCATATTATGCAATTCAAATTCAAGATCTCTTATTTCTAGTGAAAGAAAATAACTCCTGAATTATTTAGGTTATCAATAGAAATTAAAATCAATTCATCATTTTCTAAGGAGATAGAAAAGAGAGGGAGAAAGAGAAAGGGATGCTCTTTTTTCTTTTCTTTCCATTCGCACAAACTGCTACTTCTTTTAGTGTTGAATTGAGTCGACTCTTAATTTAAACTTTAATTTAAAGTGATTTCTAAATTTGGTTTCGGGAAAGTTGAAACTTCTTTGAATTTTGGGTTATGGTTTTCCATTATTATCTCAACAGAATCAACACAAAATGTTACTAGAATTAGAAGAAAGTATTTATTTTAATTTAATTATTAAAATATAATATAAATATAATTAATTTAATTAACATTTTGTATGTATAATTATTTTTAAATTTATTTATCGTTAATTTTAAATTAAAAAATAAAATTTTAATAAATATATTATATAATATATTAAATTAAAAAGTACATGAATTAATTTTTTTTTATAAAAAACTATATTTTGCGTGAGTTGTAAACTGAATTTTTAATCCTCACGCAAGAGCCCGTAGGAAGTGTTGAATATCCTTTTTATACTTTAATTAATCCTAGAAATTCTGTCAAGAATTCCTAGATAAACTGAATTTTAAATCCTCACGCAAAATGAACATTCAAAACTGAATTCTTAGATAAACGCGTGAGAGACGGGTTAGGCTCTCCTACTCATTCAGAACATGAGGCTAAAAATTAACAAAAACCTAATTTTAGCCTTTTATTTTATTAAGTTAAAGAGGTTTTAACCTCTTACTTTATATTATAATATTTTTAATTTTTCACTTATTATAATTAAAAAAATAACTCTCATTTTATAA